ATGCCAGTATGGTGGGTTGCATAAGCAACTGCTCGCACGGGCTATCGGCAGCACGCAGGATTTCGCGCATCTCCGCGGAACGGCGAGCCCGGATGTTTGTGACAGCGTAGCAGGTTAGAGAAATAATACGTTGCGTCTTGGCTTATATATTAAGACTCCGTTTATTCGAAACGATAGGGTGTACTAACGTGTACTAACCTGTACTAACGTAACTAACGTGTACTAACGTCAACTAACGTGTACTAACGTGCACTAACGTGTCCTAACGTGTACTAACGTGTACTAACGACTAACGTACTAACTCGTCCACCTTTATCTGGAGTACAGCATAACCACAACGATTGCCGGGCTTGCCTACGCTAGACGGCCGTGGCGCCTTACGGGCTATGCTAGTATCCAACAGGCACGCCTGCTGCGGTACAGGATTTATCCGAACTAACGAAAGCCTCTTGGGAACCTAGTGCACTAGGACAAGGTCTACACGTTTGGACACTGAATTTTGCAAGATGTGCGCTGAGAAGTATCTTGCAGTCAACAAAAATGATCCCTGGGCTTGGCATTGAGAGTGTAAGAGAAACTCACACGAAATTGTGCACACAAAGCGCTCACCGTGTCACCAATCCAGCCCGGCCAGCACTGCTGCGGTATTGGACGACCCAAAATTTATGAAGAGCGTTTTTAAATTTTTAAAATCCTTGTTAAACGCCGCCACGCACCCGCCGGTGGTGGGTGTGGCGTGGTCGGCGAGTGGGCGGCTCTAGCTGGCTGGCGCCCGGGCTGGCGCCCCCTCCCTCCTCCCCTCCAGCGCCTGTTGCTTCGCGGGGGATGATAAGACCCAGGCGACTCCTGCGCCGCGACCATTTCATCCCCGTAGCCACCGGCGGCAGACGCAGCGTGCGCTCCGTGCCAGCCCCGCGCGCGCCACCTCTTGGTAGCACGCTTCACCTGCGCCGCCACCTCCGTCACCATCTCCACCAGCGAGCGCCATGTCGCACGGGCCCGCGAGGACCAGCGGCCACTGCGAGTAGTGAGCGACCAGCCGAGCGTGCCCCGTGAGTGCGAGTGAGACAGAGAACAAGTGCGCCGTCCGTAGCCAGGACCATGAAGACGGCCGCCATCACCCTGGTGCTGCTGGGGATGCTGTGGGCGGGGACCACCAGCGCGGCACCCCAGAAACGTAAGTGCCAAACAGTAAGGACAAGCTTACAAAGGTCCCTGCTTCGTGTGGTACTCGGCTAAATGTGCTACTATCTCACAACGTTGAATATGGTCAATGAAGAATTGGCCACTAACTAGTTAAAAGTACTCTGAAAATCCAAAGCATATTTTTCCACTCTCAGATTCGTTCTATTAAAAATTCACTGTAAAGTTATCGACACTCCCAAACGGCCATATTTTAAACTGTTTTCCACCCTTACTGTAGAGGAATCTGTTAGTAACCCATAGATTAAAATGTTTGCCCTGCGGTCCTGTAAAAATCAACAAGTCCAGAGGAGGAATTATCCAGCTCAATCGATAAATTGTCTGTAACAGAGGTGGGACGAAATGTCTTGAGGCTATGTGCTGGAGAGAGGTTGTCCTCCGTATCCAGCCCAGCCTACCCTGAGGCCCGCCCTCAATATGCTAACGCGGGCAGTGACAGCGCCGCGCTAGGGGACCAGCCGTCAAAATTCTTTTTTTTTCCTACAATAAAATTCCCGCGGTAATTGTTTGGCTCAATCTGATTTCGTAATACTTGTGAGGCGATAAAATACTAGCGACGAGCTCAGTTAAATCGTTTATTTTATACAATTTATATCCCAAGATTTTGTATCAACCCAAGGAGGAATTTGAGCAGTGACTGTTAGCATAACGTCAAAATGGTCCC